CTTCTGATTCATTGTCGAGTCCTACTACTTGATCTCAAGGATACAAGGATCTCTGATTAATCATTCAACTCTACTGTGTGAAGAAAGGATACTTTGGTCTATTGTTGAATTGTGATACTTGCATCGATTCTGAGAATAATATTTATGAGTACCTTACTTCCTTAAATTTTGCTAGGCTGTAAGTGATATCGTGTAATAAAGCGGTCAATAAAAATGTTTAATAAATTCACCTAAACGTTTCACAAGTTCACTTTATAATAATAGAATTTCTGTCTAATCGCTCTTCATTATTTGAAAATAATAAAATTCAATCTAAAGATGAGAATGAAACGGATAATGTACATGCAAGAATCAAATTTTTAATTTTATTAAAAACTTCAAGTTGTAAAATACTTTTTGAACTCTCTCGATAACGTCATTTTTGTTCAAATTAGTCTGTTAAATTTTATCTGTTTTTCAGAATAAAGGAAATCAAAAATTATTTTCATATACAACAATCGCTAAAAAAAGAATAGTGAGCTAAAAGTTTCTTTTTCTAAATTTATCGTACATTTAATAAAAATTATTATTCGAAGGAAGAATTACCGAAAGACGACATCTTGAAAATTGTGCAGTCGGCATTTCTCAATGTTGCAAGATTTTCTGCTAAACGATATTTAGCAATTTACGCTGCTCCAACATGTTTATTAAACGGTTCAATGTATTAAGAAATAGTAATCGCGCGCTTAGTAACGTCACGTCAGATGGATCAGACTTCTACTGGGCCGACAAATTTTCCGTTTTCTACCACGACTATGGCTACATCTAATGGACCGGAACTGTACTACCAGGCATAGACTATTTACCGGTGCCTCACTTTCTGGACGGATGTGCCAATTGGCTGCCGGATAGAGGATTTCTAGTGTCCCCAATGTTTTCTCTAGACACCCTAGAAATTCTCTATCCGATAGCCAATCGGCACATCCGACAAGTTCGGCCGACATACATATAGATCGTGTTCCCATTTACTGTTAAGATAAAAATAGTCTTAAGAAAATGGATTTACGGATCAACGTTAAAAATTAGAAATGCAGGACAGCTGGTGAGAAATTATATCAATTTGATGAAATGTTATCAAAGATGGAGAAATTTGGAAATTTTATGCCTAAAAGTTGATGAGAAAACATGATTTTGATCTGGCAACACTGGTGTAAGGCGTAATGTGAATTTTACCGGTTTTCGAACCTCTCGTTAAAATACATACGTATCCTACGGGATATATCCTTGTGTGATTTTAAAAATGGTACGGGATGACGAACCTATGGAGACTGAGATTTTGCCGTCTACAAGCAGCAACGATGCGAAAATAAAAGAGAAAGATAGCAAATTACCTAGTTTACCATGGTAGGTCTTGCCTCTGTGCAGAAGTAAATTACATTATTAATAATTAATTATTCATGCAGTAAATGCAGGTGATTGTTAATCAAGAATATAACGTTGCTAGGATTGAGAAGTATCGGCCTCAAGTATTTGCAGATATTGTTGGTAACGAGGATACTGTATCTAGATTAGCTGTGTTTGCTCAACATGGAAATACCCCAAATATTATTATTGCTGGCCCACCAGGAGTTGGCAAAACCACCACGATTTTATGTCTGGCACGTATTCTATTGGGACCAGCATTTAAAGAAGCTGTGCTTGAACTGAATGCGTCCAATGAGAGAGGAATTGATGTGGTCAGAAATAAAATCAAAATATTTGCCCAAAAGAAGGTAGTTTATGTCTTATCAGAGATGCAAACTTGTTCCTGTAATAATAACGAACTTTTACACAGTTGCTTCACATTCGCAGGTTAATCTCCCGAAAGGAAAGCATAAGATCATCATTTTAGATGAAGCCGATAGCATGACTGACGGTGCGCAGCAAGCATTGCGCCGTACAATGGAGATTTACAGTCATACCACCAGATTCGCTCTGGCATGCAACAATACAGAGGAGATCATAGAACCTATACAATCGCGCTGTACCATGCTGAGATATGGAAAGTTAACAGATGCCCAAGTTCTGGCAAAAGTTCTCGAAGTGTGTCAGAAGGAAAATGTATGTGAAGTTTTATTGACGTTGATAAACAATTTGATGTGATTTTCTCCACACTTATTGTTTGCTACACGTAGGTTTCCTATACAGACGACGGTATGGAAGCGATAGTATTCACTGCCCAAGGGGACATGAGGCAAGCTTTGAACAATTTGCAGTCGACATATAATGGATTCAATCATGTAAACGGTGAGAACGTATTCAAAGTCTGCGATGAACCTCACCCTTTAATCGTTAAAGAGATGCTGGATGACTGTATAAAGGGAGACGTTTCTAAAGCATGCACGGTAAGATGTAACATCGATATACTTTCAAATCGTATTTTCAATTTGCAAGTCATTTTCATGTAATTAGGTGATGGACCATTTCTGGAAAATGGGATACTCCGCCGAGGATATAATCAGTAACGTATTCAAGGTTTGTAAAAATCATGCGATGGATGAGAAACTCAAGTTGGAATTCGTCAGAGTAAGTTGTAATTGTTATTAGTATGTTCTATCTTGCGCTAAGAATACAAGTATTCGTTTTGTATCTCCAGTTTAAGGGCGAAAAGAAATACAAATTGAATTCATTACAGGAAATTGGTTTAACGCACATGGGTGTGGTGGAAGGTATTAACAGTCTGTTGCAGTTGCACGCTTTAATAGCAAGACTTTGCCGAGCATGTATGTCGAGATAATCTCACGTGATAAAAAACGATTGTATTCTATATTACATTGTAATTATATATTTTTACTGAAACTCGTTGTGCGTTTAATTTCATCGGATTTGGAGGTACTTCATCATGATGACTTTCTTAGAAATCTTGCGTTTTATTCGTGATAAAGTATTACATGCGATACAGCTCGTAAATCTATATCTAATCTCGCTGTTGTACGTTGTGTGCAACATTTGTTAATGCGCGTCTCGTCAAATACATCGTCGCGTAAGTAACGACAGGACTAGTAATTAAAAAAAAAAAACAAAAGAAAAACAAAAACTTTTTTTCATATTCTCATCAACTTACTCTACTATTGCGCGAAGATATGAAGAAATGGGGAAAGAATATTTCTAGATCACTATATTGTTGATGCGTAATAGTGCCAAATAATGCTAAAAGTATAATACCGTAACGTTCTAACGTACGTCTAACGTACTTTGTACGAAATTTCACGTTCGCGAATGGAATGGGCTTGCACTCGAAAGCTTCTCGTTTGTTGCTCTTACTCCGAAGACAGGCCGTAATAACTGTACATTTGTACACTTACGTGAAGTTAGTAACAACGCTATCCGTAACGCTAATTTTATCGTGGAATCGCGACGCGTTCGCTCGCCGTCTTTACACGCGACGTTGCGCGAGCGAATATTTGCGTATTTCCCTTAATCTTCGCGCCGGATAACTAGATCACATTCAGATAACTAGATCGCATTCCACTGAGACCACGATGACTGCGATTCCACGATAGGAATTGCGAATTGCGTGTATACGTTTCGCACAAACTGCTATGTTTCTGCTAACACGGTATGCCCGGATCATACGTGCACATTAGAGCATACCAAACTATATATCCGGCAGTGGACTAAAATGCTCAGTTAACGATTTTATTTGTAAACTGTTTTCGAAGCTTTCGACTGTCTCACCGTATATCGAGAACCAAACAACGCTCTTCGTAAGAAACGTCAAAAAAAGAAACATTAATTAAATCTGCGTCTCTCGATGAAGCCGTAAACGTATCAACGATTGAAGGACTCAAAGAGACACGCACTGCGTCGGCTTGATAACATACATATATGCAATTCATCAGTCTTATATATTTTTATTCTTCCGGGCACAGAGTAAGTGTTTTGCTTGGGGAGACGAGGAAGTACATAAAGTCCGAGCGCGAAAAAATAAACTGGAAGAACCGCGGCGTGCGCGCAACCGTCAGATCTTAGATAGGTAGATTCCATCCTCGCAGCACGACGTGCCTCTGATGTAACGTATCATAATAATGTTACGCCGCACAAGTGCGTCCCTTACCGTACGCTTAATACTCTAATCTCGATCATAAACAATCGACACAGAATACGCCAGTCATCGGATTTAATAAAGCGACCTTGTTGTAGACCGCCGTCGATCTCTACGCGTTGCCGGCTCCTCGGAGGCAGATAGCCTCGATCTCTGCCCTCGTCCTCGTGATTTATCGTCGCGTCCGTCGTGGCGCACTGAGAGAAAACTATTTGGAGTCTCGCATGCGTATTGTTACTACTATTTTTGTGATTAAAACCGTAAAAAAAAGTACAGTCGAAGCCGAAAATAACTATAAGTTTCTCTCAGTGCGATCGAAGAACCGTCTCCTTAACGTAGGTTCCTCGAGTAAGAATATGGTCATCTCTGACTTTTTGATAAAAAAACGATGTCTGCTTCGTCACTAGAACATCTTTATATATGAAGTGTGTGTCTACAATATATCGAGTTCAGACACATTTTTCTGAAAACATATATGTCGTTTATCTGATTACATATAATACTTTTTATAAAAAAAATAGATCTTCAATTTCTTAAAAGTTTCTAAAAAGTTAATTCCCCTATTATTTTATTAAATACTTACCTCACACATCTTAAGTTAACATTTGATCACAAATAGATTTATTTTATCTGGCGATCCTTACTTCCGCCATTTTGGATCAAAGCGAACTAAGACCAGTCAGCAAAGAAGTCGCTGAGATGGCCAGAGACTCTTGCTCGAGGGATCCTACTTCGACGAAGTCCGACGGCGGGAGACGGGGAATCCGCGGGAATCACCGTTCGGAGGCGTTCAGCACCACTTCTCCATCGGCACCGACGTCAGGTGCGGCCTTGGCTTCGGGGAGGGCCATCGCAGCGCGCTTTGGCAGGATTCCGCTCTGGAGGGCGTCCTCGGTGGCGGCTGAGGCGGCGGGCTGAGTTGCGCGGACTCCTGCGAGCTGGAGTTCGCGTCGCCGTTCGCCTCGAGCGTAGCCGACCGCGCGTTGTTCTTCTCCGAGGGCGGGTCGCCGCGGTGGTTCCTCTTGGTCGGCTTCCGCGGCGCTTCGTGGTGCACCGCGGCCGGCGGCGCGCTCTCCACGGACTGCAGGCTGGCCGCGCGGTGCAGCGACAGCCGCAGCGGCTTCTTCGGCGGTGCCGGCCGGGTCTTGGTCTCCTGGGAGCTGTACACCACTGATACCTCCGAGTTCTCCGACGCGCGGGATTGGGAGTCCTGAAACGAGGACCGGGGGAGATGTTCCAGGGCAGGTTGCGACGTAAGAGAGATGAGATTTCGCGATTGGTAAATCCGTCCCGCGGACGTGCAACGAATGCGACGTTAGAATTCGCGGGACTTTCACACACCGAGAGAAGAAGTGTTTCTAAGGAATACGAAACATTGACACAGCGTTAACAATAATAACGCTGGACGATGCGTACCTGCAAGCGATAGTAAGTCGGCTCCGAGTCGAACTCCAAGGACTGGAGCTGCGAGCCGCTCTTGCGGCTCTTGTGCAAGTGCTCCATGGCGGACTCGACGCGCGGCGAGCGGCGACGCTGCAGCTGCGACTGCATCGGCGACTGCTTGCAGTCGAGGCTGGCCGTCGACCGGGCCAGCTGGAGTCCCTGGTGCTTCTGCTTGTTCCGCGACTTGTGATGGCCGTTCGAGACCCCGTCCGATGAGAAGTCGAGCTCGCGCGGACTCCTCGCGTCCGTCACGCGCCTCGCGTGATCGCTGTGTCTGCTCCTGACCGTCGGCAGACTCTGTCGCAGTTCCGTGGGGCTCCTCACGTTCAGCCCGGGCAGATTCGCCACCAGCGCGGTCACCTGCGGACCCTTCTGGAACACCTGGAACGTGCGTTCGCGCGTGAACCTTCGCATCGTGAATCGATGCGCTCGACGCGTCGAGAGGCGCGCCGACTGCGATCACTTTTGAGGGAAGCTTCCTTGAATACCAGCGAAATTCAATGATGACACCGGTTAACAAATTTTATACCGTAAATCGTATTCTTTTTGAATGTTCCTTTTTTTTTCTATTTATGTGTGGAGATGGAAAATATCGAGCGAAACTCCGCCCGTCGCATTCATCGGACACGCTCGTTCCGTCGAGGTTTCTCTCCGAGTGCAGCGTGCACGCGTACCTGCACGTGTTCCTGACGACTGGGCGGCGGGTCGGCGGGCACCTCGCTCCTGCTCGGCGCCAGAAGATCCCTCACCTGCTCCTCGAGATAGCCGATCCTGTGGGTCAGCCTGAGATTGTCCGAGCGCAGTGTGCGTAGCGCTGCGAGGGACTCGCCTTTTCGCAGGACCACGATTTGCGCGGCGTCCGGTGCGACGGCCAGCAGCCGCGCCAAGTCGCTCCTGCCGGCCCCTACCACGAGCTTGCCATTCACCTCCAAGATCCTGAGGACAACGTCGGCCGATAAGTCGAGTGCGGCTCGAGTTCAACGCGAGTCATCGTGTCCCCTTTGACGCTTCGGATGAGTTCCTCATATTATCACTATCGCCTTGAGAGCGTCAAAATAGCATGAAAATGCCGGCCCGAGAATCCGCAATAATTCTACTCGGTAGCGGTTATAACGCGATTATTAGATCACTTAACTGTACTTTTGCATTCTGCACTTGTAATGGAATCGCGGGGCGAGAAACTACGCGCGAAATCGAGCTTAATGAGGTGTGTCGGATAATAAGGCGTGGGAACTGGAAAAAGGTTACGCTTGCGGAGCGCAGTACACACACACGCGCATACACACATACCACGCCGCGTATTATCCTTAATTATTCCGTGAGAAGCGGCACAAGGTTCAGCCTGAAAAATTCAAGCTCGTCGAATATTGAGAGAGAGAGAGAGAGAGAGAGAGAGAGAGAAGTTCGGCGTAAGAAATTGCAGCGGGGAGGATGCGGCCGCGCCTTTGATTTGGCTCTGGGCAAGAAATTAATTTTTCGCCTCAGCGGCAACGTCTCGGAATGTTGATAGCTTTTAAGTTACGAACGATTAAAAAATGACAGCTTTCTCACGGGGATAAAGAGCCCCGGCTAACGAAATTTCATGCCGCTTTTAATCCCGCGTCCCAATAGAAAGCGGGAATTCGCAGCCAGAAGGATATTCGTTGTCTCGAAGATTGGAAAATTGTGGTGGAGAGAGAGTGAGAGAGGGGGGGGGGGGATTTGATTGAGTTTTCGCCGAAGAAAAATCAATTCCGCGCTGATCAAAGAATTCGCATCGTCGCGGAGCTCGTTCGTTCGGCCCGCTTCGGCGAGCTTCTACTCCCCCGCGTCGCTTTTAATATCGAGTTTCGAATCTTCGACAAGATTTTAGAGCCTAAAAACAAAATGGTATGTAAGTTTTGGGTGCTTCTCCTTTATATATATATATATATATATTTTATGCGAAAGATGATCTCTTCTCCCGTTCTATTCGTCCCTGATACTGAGGCTCGCTCGGGGACGAGTCGATTGGATTAATGCGTCGCCGTTGAAGACTGAAAAGTTTTGGCCGCAAAGTTTTTATGCGTTGCGTCGATGCGCGCGCGACGCTGGAACGCCGGGTCGTGCCCGGCACGGCAAATTCCCCCGGGTGGATATACTCGGGGAGAATGCTGGAAGGTGGGGTCATGTGAAGTCGCGGGCGCAATTAGCGGGGGCATACGGCGAACTTCCGGCGCGGCTTCACGCTACAGCGAGTTCCCCGTTGGGAACCGAATGTCAAGATTGCCGCATTGTTCTTCTCCGATAGCCGCGTTACGTAGTACTATTTCTATGCCGTCGCGCAACACGTACACAGATATACTCACACTGTGACTCGCCGACGACACCCTTCCACCGCCGAGTTCCGGCTTAAGAGGGCTGTGTTTGAATTAACGAAGTTCGCCCGAACTCCGATGTGTTTTCAAGGTTGCGCTCTCTCTCTCTCTCTCTCTCTCTCTCTCTCTCTCTCTTGTCGATTAAACTTTGCGATTCGAATGTTGCTCGAGAAAGGAACAAGAAAGAAAATTTGCCGAAACGCCGAACGGCGAATTTTCGGATTGTTTTCCGCGAGTGAGCGTCGAGGGAAACCAAAATTTGTCTTCCACATCACAGAAAATTCCTTTGAAAATTTTTCTTAATTTTCCTATCAATAATTAGCAAACTTCCGAAGCCGCTACACTGGGAAAAAAATGTTTAATATTTGTAACTATAATCGCATAAAAGTGCTATAGTACATTCAGGTAAATATATAATTGAAAAGTCGATTTTTTCGACTCCTTTACATGTACGTGGCCTTTTAAGAAGATTGAAAACGGTGATGGCGACGACAGGGACAACTTCAGGACGACTTCATGGTTCATCGAAAGGCAACGTGTTGTTCTGCAGTTCCGGAGTGCGAGCCGCGAGAGCAACGCATAATTGTGTACTTACGTGTGTGTGTATGTGTGCATGTATGTGTGTTACGACGTCGACGGAAACGCGGCTTTTTCTGCTCCTGTTAGACAGTGATTAAAGTGCGCGCGAAATGGAACGGTTAGCTGCGGTGCGCTCGGTTACGTGCACGGCTACCTTTTCACAGGAACGCGAAGGAGCGTGCCTGCCGTCTCGTCCGCGTAGTAATATCGCCGTGGAGCGGTGGGATAAAACGGCAGAAGTGCGACGTTCGATTTACGGCCGGCGGCGCTCGGGCTTTACCGCGTCCGGAGAGCTCGTAACGAGAGTTGCGCCGTGATTATTGGCGCGAGACTCGCAATTAGTCATCGTACGCTTCTTTCAATCGGGTCAGTCCTGCCGATCGGATTCACGGTGCGATCACCCGCGCCTGTTTTGCATATAGGGGAATACGGGGTCATACGAACCTGTCCCCCTTGCAGAGACCGGAATCCTCCACGGCCCAGTCAACGTATAGGCCGATCGCATCCTCTCGGGGCCCCGCGCCGAATCGGGGACTTTTCGGGTCCGCGCTCACCTCCACCGCGTGAATCGTCACTTGCGTCGAGCCGGAGATACAGCTGCAAGCAAAGCAGGGTGGTTGTAAAACCGATGCCGAAGCGATTCTCCTTCCCCTCCCGCGGTTCCGGCGGAAATTAATATTAACTCGACGAGATCCGTAGACGAACAGTTGGGAATTAACAGAGAAACAGTACGGAAGATAATAAACGAGGATTTGAAGATGCGCAAATTGTGCGGATTTTTCGCCAAAAATCGAATCACCGTTTTGGAAGACCCGTTCTATTCGGTGAATTTCGGAGAAGCAAATTTGTGGAAGAAAATCTCGACGTACGAGGGCCAAGAGGAAATTCGCGTAGGTACCTGAATATCGTGTCGTTCTTTTGCTTCTCTTGAGTCTCGGCCAATTCCAGAGCGGCTTGAAGGGCCCTGCTCTCCTCGTGAAGGGTGAGCAGCTCGAGTTCCTCGCGGCCCAGTCGATACTCCAATTCCGCCTGCTGTATTCGGACGTCGATGTTACTGAAAAGAATCATCGTGTACGGATTTGAAGCACACGCGTTAAAGAATTTACGCGAAAGACAAAAGACGTTATCTCGACAGTTATTTCCGTTAAGCGTGACTGTTTAATCGTAGATATTTTCATTCGTCGAGCTCGAGTGATTCTTTAATTTCCCGATGGTATAATATATAACAATATACGACGTATGCGATGATAAAATAAAAGAAGGAGGGCGATTTGTTCGTCCGATAAAATAATTTCATTGTCATGTTCCAATTTCTATTGAATGACGAATTTCATCGTTACACGATTGTTGGGAAATATAGAACGTGATAATGTCAAGGTGAAAGATAGCTTCTCTGAGAATAACGTGTATTCTCAAGGTCCCATATGGTCTAGTGGCTAGGATACCTGGCTTTCACCCAGGAGGCTCGGGTTCGATTCCCGGTATGGGAAGTTATTTTTTGATCTGCTGACTCGTATTTTTTTTTAGTAAAAACAATTCCGTACATAAACAGATGTGTGAGATTTTTATGATTAAAGAGATCATATTGAAGGTCTCTTTAATCATAAAATTTTCCTCGTATATATGAGCATACGTATGGAACAATTTTCACAAAAAAAAAATATCACCACCAGTTCAAAAAGATTTCCCATACCGGGAATCGAACCCGAGCCTCCTGGGTGAAAGCCAGGTATCCTAGCCACTAGACCATATGGGATCTTATGTGTTTTGTTCTTGGGACTATACATCACTATCATTTCTCTAATAACATGAATTCGTATGCGTCTATCGGGGGGAGAGGGGAGATACATATAATATATTCACAAACATATGTCTAACACGAGCAGTTCTAGCCAAAGCCTTTATATATAAGTATATATAAAGATATGTCAAAGCGCGAACGATTATTTCTTTTCAATTTTTTAAACTTTACGTAAATTTCGCCGATATTTTCTCTTCTTGCTACAATACCAACATTATCAACATAAATCATGCTTATAAATACTTAACATAGAACTCTACGTGTTGCGTTAGCCATTATCTTTCGAATAGTAAACACTTTGCATATCATTTTTCTGGAAACGTGGACGGTCAACGATTTTTCTATTATTTCCACAATATTTCTGCAAGTCTCTTTTATCGTCTTCTCGTTTTTCATCCAACGAGTTCGAATTCGGTAAACCGACGGTCACCAAACAGAACGCTCGTCCGAAGACGAATCAGACGTGTCGGCCGCGTCACCAATGATTGCTCCGATCTTCGGGCCGCGCTCGAATGAAGCAATTAAATGTCAGTTCCACGAGAGCGCGTGCGCGTGAGCAATATTCTATCAAAGCGTATTACCATAATTACACATAGATACGGCTCGTTTTATCCGCATTATGCATTGCATTATCCGTACACAGACGTTAGACGCGTTTCATCCGCACTGTCGTATTTATAGCGGGGTACCCCGCAACTACGCGTCTCACCCTCGGCATTATATGGCGGGTAATCACGGGCCACGATAACGCGGTTGAATGAGCGCGTGAGCGAGCGAGCGTGCGAGCGAGATCTCGATTTCATACTTACTCCGTGATATCGAGACGCTCGAGCGCCAGCTTGAGGTTCTTAATAGCCAGTCGCTTATTGTCGGCGTCCCGTCGCAACCTTTGAAGCCGCTCCTCGGCCGCTTTCCTGTCGGCCTCGGTCAAGGGTGGCGCGCCATTGCGTAATGCTAGTCTATTGCTCAGCGTGTTGCAGAGCTGGCCCTTGAGCCTGAAAAATAACAAAAGGCACGAATGCCGTATCGTGACTGGGAAGAACACCACCACCACCATCAGCACCGTTGCCCTCCCGCCGTTTGTACCCCGATCTCAGGAATGCACGTCGAGGCACCGACGGGCCTCTGAAGAGTTCCTTATCTCTCGCTTGGTACTACCTGAATGTATGCATCTGAAGAGGCTGTAACCCACGACTCTCCTCGAGATCCTGTAAATCTTTCTACCGCCTTTGTCCTCTCGTTGTATTATTCTCTCCGTTGCATTATTTCTCAATGGCGGATTCCCCGACCGGACGCGAAGTTTCGTTCCGCCTGAGCGAAAATTTTCGGGAAATATCACTCGAGAAATATCATCGATAATGCTAATTGGCGGGTAAAAGTTATTTTGAACCGGACAAGGTGTTTCTCATCTTCAAGATCTTCAAATCAGTATGTCGGTTTTAGTGCTTCTCCTCTATACGCGCACGATCGTTATAACGAAGGATCGCTACGTGACCAGCCGCCGCAAGGGGTATATCCTCGCGAGACCTAGCGCGTACTTGAAGGATGCGATCGAACGGTCACTCACGTCTGTATGATGTTTTCCTTGTCACGCAGGGCGACCCGGAGGGCGTCCAATTCTTTATAATGATCCCGGTTCCGATGGCCGGCGGGGGACGTGACACCTCCGGAAATGCTGCCGCCCTTCTTCCGTCTCGGCGTGGTGGAAAGCGATACTTCGATACTGGCCATCTGTAATGCGCACGTACACGAAAGTCAAATCAAACAATGAGAATGGATCCCCGACGAGGGCGCAGCGTTGAAAATGTATCAGGTTAACGATGTATCCGATCAAGCCATTAGTTTACCTTTTGCAGTCATACATAAATTTTAGCCTCACTGTGAGTATATCATAATCGTGCGCACACATACACACATACATACACACAATACAAATCCAGTGAAAATTTGTACTATTAGTGTGCTATATCATTGGACAAAGATTTTCTGCGTGTAAGAAAAACGGAAGTTGGAAACAAAAAGGCGTATATTAACGCTCGTCGAGCGTCCGGAATAAGGCGTGGGATCGATACTATACGACATAAATTATCGATCGCATCGTAAATAGGCGCGCGTCCGCATTAAGGAGCCTCTCCTAGCGGAACGTCGCGAATACGTGGTCTCGCTCCTCTCAAGGCTGCGTGTTTGATTAACTACTTTTCTTCGTGGAATAGCTCGGGGTGAGCAACTATCATCCTCCTTGATATAATGAACATATTATACATACTCAATTTTCGCATGTACGAACAAGCAAAGCAATTTGCCTAACGACGAAGGGCATAGGTCTCGTGCACATAGGGGACGGATGCGGCGTTGCAAATAATTCCTCGGACATGAATATTTATAAACGATCGTGCCGGCTCGCAGAAAATTATAACTGCGCCGTTACTCGTCGCGCTTCCCGCTGCGAAAGTTTATATATAAAAAAGGAGGAGAACGGGGAGAGGTGGAGATAGAGAGAGAGAGAGAGAGAAAGAGAGAGGGAGTGAGTGGAAGCTATGATAACTTTAGAACGTTTATCGTGCATTGAATAATTTCCACGTCGAACGTTATAGTTAGCCTTCCGTAGTTACAAAGTGAGCGACGACCGTCGCTGAAAACGTTGATGGCCGAGGGATTAACAGCTTAGCGAATAAATCATGTTGCGCAAATGCGGGAAAAAAAATCCATAAACGAGTTGGACGTTGTGCGTGCGTGCGTGCGTGAGTACGTTAGAGCATATAATTGAGTGAGCGTGCGCGTGCGTTGAACGCAAAAATTCCATTTTTCACGGCGACATGAGATATTAGGTAGTGTTATATTTTACGTCATAACGTCGGTATACACTTTTAATCTCGCATTAGTTTAATGGGACTCGTGAGACTAGAAAATACGTACGATGGATGTCCATTTAGTTCTCTCTCTCTCTCTCTCTCCCCCCTCGCTCTTCACAAATTACTCGCGACGATAAAGTGTAAAATCGATGAGTCTCCCTCCTTCCCTCCCTCTCGTCGGCGCGCTGCTCTGCATTCGTCCGCAGCCGGCGTTCCGCGGCATTCACCGTGTCGGAGGTGCCGGCGAGGAACGCAACTATCAATTATTCGGATTCCGAGCACCGGCTCGTCGAGGCTTTCTTCCTTCTTTGTCGCGTACCCACCGCTCCCCTTTTCCCCAACGGTCGCGGGGACACGAGAAGCTCGAAGAGATCGCAGAAGACTACGCGGCGACGAGGAGGAGGAAGAAGAGGTCTGCGGGGGAGGATCGGCACGCGGCATGAATACAAATTTATCGTTCCATTAAACCTATGATTTGCGACGACGGTCGGGGCGGGATGTCTCGGCCTTAATGGGCTTCCACCGTCGGTACTGCACACGACGCTGCTCTCCCGATGGTCCTTGAGAAGACGGCACCTCCGCTTGCCTCTCGCCGGCCGTCGCAGGGAGGTCAACGCTGGCCCCACCGGCCAACGAGGACCGATATGAGGCCCCTCTCGCCATGTGGACCACCAGGCAGGCGCGTATGCAGAAAACCGAACCGGATGTCCCTCGTGAGGCCCGTCGAATACGACTGCTCGTGATTTACCTTTCCGCGTGTCTCTTTACCCGCGGCTGCACTCACGAGATCCGTCAGCCGCCCCTCAGCATAAAAATCCGTCGAAAAATTACGGAGAAACAGGTGTCCCATATATAGAACATTATGCGACAAAGGTTGCTTATAATTACACGTGCTAAAAGATGCTTCCGTTTTAATAACGATTATTATTATTATTATTCCGAAACGAGGAGATCTCTCCATTGCGTTAACGCAACAATGTGTAAACATAAAGCGCGATATATTAATAGTGAATCTCGGATTACTCCACTTTGGTGGTACCGCGTTGTCCGTGAAACACGCTTGGAGGAGTCGTGATCGAGGGGTCACGGAGGAGTCATCGTGAAACATAGCAAGCGCGCCTATTAATCATCATCAGCGTCACGTGTGCGCCAAAAGTAACAGGGCGGGAAAAAAATCTCTCGACGGAAGAAAGAGATTTCCGGACACCTGCGTCGGGCAGTTCTCCGACGTTAACGTCGGTCGAATATGCACGATTCACGCAAGAGATTCACTCATCGGTCCTCTTCGTCCGAGCTGCGTCGGCGGAAAAATCGCGCGAGCGAGGATCATTGAACTTTGAACCGCTCGAGGGGAATTTTGCAAGTCGCGGCGGACGTTCCCGCGGGAATAGGTGCATCCGGTTTATCGTCGTCGTTGTCATCGTCGTCCCGAGACGGCCCGGCTGGTGGTCCGTTGTCTCGTCTGGGACACACTATACCCACGATACTCCCATATCGCATCTGCCTCCATCACGAGAGAGCGGCACACACGGAGAGCGACGACGACGAAGGAGGAAACATCGACCTCCGTTGCATCGCTAGGAGGGACAGCGTATCCTCTCAAGGACCGTGTATCAAGGTTCGCGGTACCGTGACTCAGAACCTCCCGGAGGGTCAGAGGTCCCCGCAGTCTTTGACTCGCGAGTTCTGTCTTGCGCGATGTTGTACGTGGAACGAATCCGCGGGAATCGACGATTCTTCATTAAGAAGCGGCGCGCGCGTTCCCGCGCGAGGAGCAACGACCGTGCCGCCTTAATCTCGACCGGGAGAGATCTTCCTTCGGTAAATTATACGTACCACCATTTTTTCAGCAGAAAACACCGATATATTTTACCCGTGACATTTCAAATTCTAGCCGGACCAGCAAAAACATTTCCCTGAGTGCGGTGTTTGTATCTCCTCGATTGTACCTTCGCGATGTGACCCTCCTAATTTCTTCCCCCCCCCCCCCCCNCCCCCCCCCATCGTGATTCATTCGCGTGGATGCGAGTCCATCGGACTGCGCGGGATCGAAGAAGGACATCAGGCGAGTCTCCGGATCCCCCCGGGGTAATTTCTCGAGACTCGCCGCGACTCGTTCGTTTCGCGGTGCTAAAGCTTCAGCACCGTTGCTGATTTAGTGTATCAGGCGGATCCGTGTACATTTGTTTTCCAGCGCGCGTGGAAGATAACTGACCCGCCAGTCGGCGCGACACTTCCCCTCTCACTCTCTCTCTCTTTCTCTCTTGCGCTCTCCTTCGTATGCATCGCGCCGGCCGACTACTCGACGTTCACCCGTGGGATTATCGTGGACCGAGATTTACGGCACGAGGACACCCCGCAGCAGGATAACGCGGTCCGGTAATAGCCGCACCAATCCTATTACGTCTCGAAGCCGACGAGACTACCGTCGCTGCGCCGACTCGGCTCAGGTGAGCCGGTGTGACCGCCGGCAGCGTCCAATTAGTCCGCGGCGACCGAAATTTTCGCCTGGCCATCCGCCAGCCTTTGTACCGGCCGTCCAGCTACGGTGTCTTCGCGTGTTTATGTAGCAGTTAAAGCGCACGAGCTACTTTGCGGAAAAACGGTACGTACAATTCACCCCTTTCCCTCGCTCTTTAAGGACCCCTTAATGATTTATGCAGATGTGCGCGGCACAAATAACGCCAATCGCGCTACTTCCTCGCGGACTCATTTTTCACGGTTCGGAAGACGTTTCGCCAGATACTTCTCGAGCAACCACGGCCGGTGTGCTCTGTTACGTTTCTCTCCCATAGTCACTCGGGGCTCCCCTTTTTTCCTCTTTTTTTCCGCTTCGTTCGCGCTCGTGATTTATATATTCCCGGCGAGCTCGCGCGCGTCCGGAAAGTTAATTTATATCGTTGTCGTCGGGCGCGTCTTTTCCACGATTCGTTGAACCACCCACGCGATTATCGCGACGGCCTGGTGGTTCCCAGGATTACCGGTTGGAAAACCACCCAGATGTCGGAGATCCTGAGCCGCGAGCATTATCAGAGACGCGGTTCTCCACGTCGACGCGCGTTTCCTTTTCCGTGAAAGCGGACGGTTTCTCATCTCGGGCCCCGTTGCGACCGCCTCTTCGTCTGAGGTTTCCCGGAAACCGATGCTGTTTACCGCGACGGGAAAAACGCGCGAGCACTCGAGAACAATGATGTCGCAGTCAGGTAGGGATTGTTCACAGTTAATCGTTGTGGACGCGCCGCAGCGGCGACTGCTAACTTCTTGCTCCCGAGAAGCAACGAGACGCGCGCCGTGTCTTTTTCTCGTGCCATGAAATCGCGCCTTCAACTGGAGGTTCGGAGACCAGAGGAAAAATCTACGAGCCGACAATTCGATGTCGTAAAGAGTCGAGAGGGAGAGAGAGAGAAGGCGGTTCAAAGGACGGAGGGACTCAGTCTGTTTTCTCTCGGCTAGGGGTCAGCGGGTTCATGTATTCAGCATTCACGCACGTTTCAGCCTACGTACGAGTCGACAAAAGATACATCGTACATACGGCCTTCATCGCGAAGTGCCTGCTTTCCATAAACACGGCTTTTCGCCACCGGCGCGTTGTCCGAAGACCGGCAACGACAATACCATAAATCGTCGAATCGCGTTTCCGTTTTCTCGTTCTTTCTCTTTCCTTTCATCACAAGCGGAAGATATTTTCCGCGAAGGACGCTGATTCGAATTTCGCACATTGACGAAAAGGACGTATCGCGGCACGAGTTTCATGATCGATTCGAGACTGGTGTCAAAACTGAGTCGAGTCGCGAGGGTGCTCTTGGATTTCGCACAAGTTTCCCTTTTTTCATCTTCGAGGTTCCAAATGAGAGACTCTTCAGTCCTCTAATTCTATTT